ATCCTTCTATCGCCGGAGTAGTCGACAATGACTTGCATGGGTGCAGGGCGTCGCAAGGAGATCTTGTGAGCCACGCTAATCATTAAACGTCCTGCGCCGTCGGACTGAAAGCTGTCGTGAAAATGTTCAATGGATCGGGGCACTCCACCAAGCTGGATGCTGTGATCCGTGAGCACGGGTAACATGCAGCGGGTAACAGCTCATACGCCCTATACCAGCGGGCCACTGCCAAAAATTAAAATTGCGTGAATCTGCAAACTATTTAAAACATTGTTTAATACATTATTCAAAAATATTAGTATTCATGAAGAATTGAACTCGCGACCAAAAGAAAAGGGTGGCAGGGAGAACCAGTCGGGCGAGATGGAGCGGGCGATGGAGCGGGCGTTGGCCGCGAGCGGGAAGTGCAGCGGGTTGGAGAAGGTCAATAGGAGGGCCGCTACGGCCGGTGCAGCACCCGATTTGTAAAAAAACTTTACAGCATCAAGTGTCCACGTCATCGGATGACGTGGAATTAGGGTTAGGTCGCGAGACAGGGCAAAGACCACGGAGCTGTCGCGGCTCCACGCGTCGCCGGCGTAAACTTTAAAAGGTTGAGCTAAAGCTCAACGCTCGGGGCCCAGGCGGTCGCCGGGGCGGTGCGTGGGTGGTGCTGCATCCGATACGTGGCGGCGGCAATCACAGCACGACTCACCCCGTTTGCGCTGCAAATCGCTGCCTGCATCTTCTCTTCCGCTCATGGTACCGAAGGCTAGCTGGTGCGGTCAACGCCCATCATCAATTAGGACGCCAGCCATCATACGGTCACATCGCCGACGAAGGCGAATTGCGTCTTCATCCTCCCGCCCCTAGAACCACAATTTGTCACGGCGCTCGAAGAAAAAAAAAAAAAAAAAAAAAGACAATTTTTGTCATCTCACATTGCTGGAGGAAGCACTACTTCGGGGCACCCCGCCCAACTCTCTGAGCAATCACTGTTCCTCTTGTTTGCAACCGTTCAGGAAAACATCCGTGTTTGTCTGTACAGCGATGGGGACGCCTGCAGATGCCTGCAGATGCCCCCCTCTTTCGTTTTGAACAATGCCCATACAATGGTATGCATTCGAGAGAGTGTGAAGCTGCCTATATTGACATCAAATCAACATTCGGATATCCTTGATTATGGTTATCATGGTGGCGTGTTGTTTCATCGTGGGAACGAAAGAACTATATCTTTCAAAGGAGCTGTTCAACAGTTCTTTATATTTATCCTTTATTCACCGCTCTGTCGTGGTCTACAATTATTTGAGACTATCATTCATTATCAGGGTTATTACAAGTGATATTATGGTAAGCTGGCAGCACCGAAAAATAATGAACAGGCGTCCTCCCGGCACTCCCGTTCCACATTCTCGGCATCTCATTCCACCAATCCAACCCGTGCATGATACATAAGCAGCGGTTGAAACAGCGTAGCGCTGAGCACACCGCACCCCATCCACACGGAAAGCGACGGCATCGTCCTTACGCCGGCCGTCTTAACCGCCAGGGGCAGCATCTCAGCCAAGGCGACGAACACCAAGATGCCGGCTATGATCGCGAGCACACTGCTGATCGACGTCTGCGTCATGTACTGCTCAAAGAACAGCCCGGGCAGGAGGACGCCGAGCGGCTCGAGCATGCCCGAGAAGAGGGCGAGGCGGATGGCGATAGACTTACTGCGCGTGGCAAAGTAGATGGGCAGGGCGATGCAAAGCCCCTCGGGGATGTTCTCCAACGATATCGCCGCGGCCAGACGCACGCCGCTCTCTAAGCCCTCGTGCACCGCAAACAGAATGGACATGCCCTCGAGCAGGTTGTGCACGGAGAGGGACACGAAGGTGATGAGGCCGACGACGAGGACCTCGCCGCGCAGGAGCATGCGGTGGCGATCGCCGGGGTCATCGACGGGGATA